TTTTTTTTTTTTTGATTCGTTGACGTGATAACATCACATCAATAATTGAACATTTTACCTCATGGCCACGGTACGCTAGAGACAATTTTATTCTATACCGTCCAATAATCAAACACGTGACGTGTCCACAATTAACCGTCATTTTCAGTCAATGACACAGCACTACTAATGCATTGTTTCGAAGATTAATCAGATAATTATCTCTATTAAATGAAGAATCTTCTGAACACGAAATTATTATAAATACCACATCAAAACTTGTTAAAGTTTGGATTACCTATTTAAATAATATAATCCAGATAACCGCTGCACGGGCAAAATTTACTGTTTATTTGTGTCACCTACAACTCTTGAATCACCCGATTTCTTGAAAAATTCTCTGACAAATTCGATCTTTTAACACGGTTTCGCAGAGTTATTATCTGGGTTTTTCCTTGAATCCCCCAATTTCTTTATTTTTTGCCAGAAAAATCCAATCTTGCTGTACAGTTTTGGACAGTTACAATTTGGGTTTTCCCCTCTTTGATTCAGATTTCTTGAATAGCTCAATCATGAAGGTTCATCCGGTGCCGATCACCCTGCAGTACGACATAGCATCGGCTCTCTCTCAGGCGAACGTCTGCGGGCTAAGGAAGCTCCGGCGACTACCCCACATCTTCGCCAAGGTGTTGGAGCTACCTTTCCGCTCAGACGCCAACGTTTTGATCGACGAAACCCCTGATTCCCTTAGATTTATCATCGCCGTTGGTGGCATCACCGGTGATGTTGGGGCACACGCCGTTGAGATTTACCCTGGGGTTACCAAGATTGTTATCCGAGTAGACGGAGTGGTTAACTTGTCAGGTAATGAATTGGAGATGGATTTGTGGCGGTTTCGACTCCCGGAATTGACATTGCCGGAGTTGGCATCTGCCGTGTACCATCACGGGGAGCTGGTTGTGACGGTGCCAAAAGGCGGAGCTGAAGAGGATCGCGACAGTGAAGGTGGTGATCTCGGAGGTGGGAGGCTTGTTCTTGTACAGTAATATTGATATTATTACTTTATCCCATTTCTCTTCTTCTACGATTTAATATGCTTAAGCCTGTGACACTATCCTAATTAGAGTTTCAAGGTGGTTTGATCTCAATATCAATCCTTTCATGGTTATTTAGGGGAAAAAATTTCCCTTGATACGATGTTGGTGGATTATAATGTTAGAAAATTTATTAAAACTTGGTACTAAAAGCATGCATTTCTTGAAATTTGTATTGCTGTAGAGCTTTGGACTCTAGTTTCTTTGCGGTTGGCTTTGGATGTTCCCTAGCTTAAGTAACTCACTATCTCGTAACCTTGTGTGAACATATGTCCGAATCAAATTTAATTGTAGGAGCAATTGGTTGTAACCTGTGCACAAGTTTAAAATTTGGATTCGCGTTTTTTATGCAAGTGTTAGTCCTTGATGATTTACCGTGGTTGAATGGTATGGTAGGACTACCAAACCATATCTTTTTTGAGGTTATTCTCATAGCAAATGTTTGATATATAGTACTGGATAACCTTGTATGGTA